TATTTATGTCACTTATACATCATCTATTTCACATAACCCTGATTTAGGGGTCACTGGTTTGTGATTTCACGTTCATTTATTTTTTCACAAATCTCACTTGAATCCGTAAGTTTCAGCAGATTTCAGTAACAGATGTGTGTTGCAGAAGTTACTTTGCAGTTTATTTTATTTTTCCACACCAGTTTCTACTGTATATTCATTTATTTATTTATTTAGATTTTATTTTTTCACTTCCACCTATCCTTATTATTATGTTCACTGTGAACACTTACATTTTGGGAGCATTTCCTATAGCAACTAATCAGTTGCAGGATATTATTTGTGTTGTATTTGTATCACTGAGTTTTGGAATCCTCAATAGGATCATATCACGTTTTTTTTGGCACAATTCAAAAAGAAGTAATATATATATATTCATATATTTATATTTACTTTGTAATTATGTGTTTTGTTCACCCATAGTCACCTATTTTATTTCTAGGGGTGTACCTAGGTTACACCTTTTACGTTTGGGTGGTATTCACTATTCTACACTATTTGGGTGTTTTCATGTGCATTCTATTCAATCATTTTTGTTTTGTGTAATTATGTGTTTTGTTCACCCATAGTCACCTATTTTATTTCTAGGGGTGTACCTTGGTTACACCTTTTACGTTTGGGTAGTATTCACTATTATCCACTATTTGGGTGTTTTCATGTGCATTCTATTCAATCATTTTTGTTTTGTGTAATTATGTGTTTTGTTCACCCATAGTCACCTATTTTTTTTCTAGTGGTGTACCTAGGTTACACCTTTTTACGTTTGGGTGGTATTCACTATTATTCACAATTTGGATGTTTTCATGTGCATTCTATTCAATAATTTTTGGTTTATGTATATTTATTTACAAGTTTGTACACTGCGTGGGGTATTAACATCACAGGAGTTTATCACCCAGAGATAGCGCAGCACTAATTAATCTTCAATGGAAAACACTTTGCATGCATTTCTGATGATGAAAAAAGGCTCTGGACAGCATTTGGATATGGAACAGTTTAAAAACACTTCTAAACGAAAACGTTTATAAAGCGCGGTTAGCCGCGTTTACAAGCGTTTGGCATTTGAAACGCTGATAAAATCTACTCCTGGACGCAAGTTTGGTGCGTTCAAAACAACAACTGTAAACTCAACTGCCTGTAAACGACACATTATACATGGACACATAGGAAGACATTAGGGAGAGTTCAGGGGCTGCTGAAAACAACGCAGAAAAGCTCCCGAACATCAGTTTATCAGCTGCACTGTATATGAGCCCTTAGAATAATGGTCAGTGAATAATATTATTGGTCATTGGGAGAAGGGCCCCATGATGTCAGTAGGAAGAATGTCCCTTACGTTGGTGGTCATTATGCCTCCTTACAGATCGCTATAAATGTCATTGGTGTCTGTGATCACCCATCTCTCTAGGAACCCCTGATATACTCCGGAGGAACCCTGGATAAGAAAGGCTGCTCTAAAATATAACCCTGGTCACACCTTTGCACTTTAAAAAGTATGCATTTTAAGAGTTGCTTTTTTCAATTTTTGAGTTAAAATATGTATTTTGATATGTTTTTGTGTATTTTATGGCATACAAAATGCATCTTAATGAGTAATTTATTTGTTAACTTCCAGCCTTGTAATAACCATGTCACCCAGCCATAAGCCTAGAATGAAACCTCTGTCCTAGCCAGTGCCTTACCTTTTTTGTTTTTGATCTGATGTCACTGTGAGCAGACAGGGAAACCACCAGATATACATATGAAAATGATTCACCATATGTAAATAATGAGAACAATAGGACAAATATTCTAGCAAAGAGCAGGACAAGATGTCTGAACCACCCATCTACAAAGCACAAATATTTCATTAAAAACATGGAGGCTGCCATTTCTGAGCTTTTTTTCTGAAAATGTTATTTGTCTGGCTGTCATGCCAAGCCTTCTGTACTCTTCCATTGATGCAAAATGAGTATGTAGACTGAAACTTTTGACTTTTCCTGTACTTGTTTTGGGTCGGTGATTCAGAAAGTGTTGAAGTCAGTGGGTCAAGGAAACGGCATCTTCAGAAGGAGGTCAGCAATGGCGTTTTTATCTCACATCAGGTCTCCACTCAAGTAGATGTAGGCCCTAATGACATTTTATTTTGGTAAAGCACTGTTTATCATAAGCAATTGCCATTTATTGCTTCTTTGCCAACACTTCTTGTCTACATGCACTATAGAGCTGCTTGGCAATTCTCAAGACTGATTTGCTGATAGTGGTAACAGTCAACCATGTCCAAACAATGTGTGCTAAAAAGGCTGTGTGTAATTCCATCACAAGTCTGTGAGAAGGTGACAACATCAGGAGCACAATTTGGAGATGGACGGAGTGTTGTCACCCTATAACAGGCATATCATGGCAGACGCAGCAGGTTTGAAAATATTGAAACATTTTTTTAGAAATTACATTTACACATTTAAAGCCTGTATGAGATCAAAGTGATTGGGTTTTGCATATGCTTAAAGTGTTACTAAACCCAGGACCCTGCATTCACTATATCTGGTCTCCCACAGTACACAGAATGTGGAAATGCAATTATTTTAGTAAATATAAACTGCTAAATACCTTTTCTCATCAGCAGTTAGAGCAGTCTTGTGGCTTCTATCAGTGTCCAGCAGAGCATTGGTTACAGCTTGTAGGAGGAGTTTTTATTCTCCCCTGATTGTACTATGAGACTGCAGGACCCCTGACCCTCTCTCTGGACAGTGCTGATTGGCCCTGTGCTGATCACATCCACTATTACAAGAAAAGAATAAACTCAGCAGGGGTGTCCAAACTATGGCCCTCCAGGTGTTGAGGAACTGCAAGTCCTGTGAGGCCTTGCAAGACTCTGACATCCATAGGCAAGACACTCAAAGGCAGAGGCATGATGGGACTTGTAGTACTTCAACAGCTGGAGGGCCATAGTTTGGACACCCCTTCTAGCAATACACACCAAACTGAGCACGTGCAGCTTGCTCCCAAGGCTATGTGCTGTCAGCAGATGTATTAAGGACTGTGGAAGAAGGGGAGGATCAGAGAAGACAGGATCATACATCCTTTTTACACAATGTAGAGGATTAACCCCTTAGGTTCCACAGTAAGTATAACAAGCATGCTCTACTGCATATACAGACTGATTTTACTGTTGTGGGTTTAGTAACACTTTACCAATTCCGATTTCTCCTAACAGTCATTGTCATCGATGTTATTGCAGGCTTTTACGTTCTGAAATAATACCATTTTTTTTTGCTGGTTCCAGTATTAGACTATCTGGCTCCTGAATCAGACATGATTTTGTCCAACCTTTTAGTGTACAGTCAACTGGAAATTGGATTAATCATTAGAGAACTAAAACATATTTCTATTTGTTGTAAAATCAATAGCTTATGCCATTAAAACAAAGCATTTACCTAACGGAACATTTATAACTCACTTTCCTGATTAAGTGTTCTTGCAAGAATCTCACAAATATATTCTTATTATTATAGCTAAATTTACCACGCTAACTCCTCCCACAGTTTTTACACTACAAAGACAAGTAATATATCAAAACGTGCGGATTGTTCTCGATTGGATTGCTATTACTTTGTGGAATGTTTCGCCGAATGGTTCACAAAATATCTCTGTTTTTGTGGTGAAATTTTCCCATAGGAATGAATGGAGCAACTTCAGTGGGAGCTGACAAAACTAGAGTGTGGAAGGAAAAATCAGGACATGATTTCTAAACTGCCATCACTCCCTCATTTTCAAGCCCACCTACACATATCTTATATCAAAACGTTCAGCTATCCCTGCTGCCACTAAAAATGTCCACGGCTAAGCCATAGTCCTGATAGTTTTCACAATATGACCATTTGTTTGCAACTCTCGCCGCCCATTGACATTCATTGAAACTCCACTCTAGACACCTGAAGTTTGAAAGAAACATTTCTAAACTGCGACTGTGCCTTCATTTTTAATATTTCAGAGACATACTATTCATCAAAATCTAGGTCTGGGTCTTGTGATTCTCACAATATAAAGCTCTTCGCTGTAGGATTTATACTTTTAAAACTACAACCATTTTAAGATGGCAACCACCAGTGAACTGAGCAAGTTGGAGCAGTTTGTTTATAAAAGTTCCTCTCAGCTTGCACTAGAGTGAGTTGCCATAGGAACCCAGCTGTGTCAGCAGCCAGCAGAGTGACCAAAGCTACTCCGCCCACTCCAGTTGTAGACTACTGCTGCAGGCAAGAATACTTCACACAATTTCCCCAGAAATTGTAGATTTTCTACTTCTTATTCTTATTATTATAGCCAAATTTACCACCCTAACTCCTCCCACAGTTTTTACACTACAAAGACAGTAATATATCAAACCGTGCGGATTGTTCCCGATTGGTGTGCTATTACTTTGTGGAACGTTTCGCCAAATGGTTCAAGAAATATCGCCGTTTTTGTGGTGAAATTGGTCCCATAGGAATGAATGGTGGAATGCTCAAAACTAGAGTGGGAGCTGACAAAAGCTAGAGTGTGAGCTGAAAAATCAGGACATGATTTCTAAACTGCCATCACTCCCTCATTTTCAAGCCCACCTACACAAATCTTATATCAAAACGTTCAGCAATCCCTGTTGCCACTAAAAATGTCCACGGCTAAGCCATAGTCCTGATTGTTTTCACAATATGACCTTTTGTTTGCAACTCACGCCACCCATTGACTTTCATTGAAACTCCACTCCCAGCCACCTGAAATTTGAAGGGCAATTTCTAAACTGCGACTGTGCCTTCATTTTTAATATTTCAGAGACATACTATGCATCAAAATGTAGGTCTGGGTCTTGTGATTCTCGCAATATAAAGCTCTTCGCTGTAGGATTTTCAGAACGCTGGTAACGTTAACTGTGTAAAGTCATGTTAAAAATGTGTGTTTTTCAGCTTTTTTAAGCATTTTTGCATTAGCATTTAGCGGAGTTTTGCTGCCAATCAGTGCCACCTATCAGTGCCAGTCAGTGCTGCCTATCAGTGCGCATCAGTGCCACCTGTCAGTGCCACCTAACAGTGCCAGTCAGTGCCGCCTATCAGTGTTGCCTATCAGTGCCATATATCAGTGCCATGTATCAGTGCTGCCTTTCAGCGCCCATCAGTGATGCCTGTCAATGCCCATCAGTGCCACCTACCAGTGCCTCCTCATCAGTGCCCATCAGTGCCACCTATCAGTGTCGATCAGTGCAGCCTATCATTGCCCATCAGTGCAGCCTCATTAGCACACATCAGTGAAGGAGAAAAATCACTTATTTACAAAAATGTATAACAAAAAATAAGAAAAAACATTTTTTTTTTAAAATTTCAGTGGTTTTTGGTTTGTTTAAGAAAAAATTAAAAACCCAGAGGTGATTAAATACCACCAAAATAAAGCTCTATTTGTCACAAAAAAATGATAAAAATTTCATATGGGTAAAGTGTTGCATGACCGCGCAATTGTCATTCAAAGTGCGACAGCGCTGAAAGCTGGAAATTGGCCTGGGCAGGAAGGGGGTATAAGTGCCCTGTAGGCAGGAAGGGGGTAGAAGTGCCCTGTAGGTTACTGGTTAATAACACAACATTACCACCTTGAGGTTTCCTGAATTTCAATTCTATACTTGTATATAACGAGAGGCTGCACCAGCTACTTCCTGAGATGACAGCAGACACTTAAATTGCCACATAACAAAGTGCTGGGAGGAGTACATGAAGGAAAAATGAAGACTTTGTTAAAGCAGAATACCCCCCCCCCCCTTTATAGTCAAGAAAGCTGTCATTTTACAGGCAGTGGTCCTGCTCCTGTGTCCAGCTATGGCATGAAAATTCAGTTGAGAGCTCTCATAAGCACACTGGTGACAGTTATCAGCAGAGGTATGATTTGAATGTTACTGGCTGAACCTGCTCATTTGCATATCTTTGCAAATTATTCTGGGAAATGGGTTTTGCCACCTCAGGGTTGATCAAATCTGAATTATTTGTGTTTTTAGAGGGTTTATAGAGCAGAAAGATTATGATGTGAACATACAAGCCCAGAAGAAAGATTTTAATGGTACATTCAAATTTGACTCTCCATAGTTTATATTTTGGTAGTTCGGGCGGTTTAAAAAGAGTCTGAGCTTACTTAGCAGTTGGAGAGGTTGGGAAAGCTCAATGACACCAGGTGAGGATCTCTGGGGCCAATTCAGTGACACTGAGGTGAGGATCTCTCTGGCAGAAGTTCAGTGATACTGACCTGAGGGATACTGACATGAGGATCTCTCTGAGGAAGTTCAGTGATTACTGACAGGAGTGATACCGATGAGTATCTCTCTGGGGAGTTCAGTGATACTGACATGAGGATCTCTCTGGGGAAGTGATTACTGACAGGAGGGATACCGACATGAGGATCTCTCTGGGTAGTTCAGTGATACTGATGTCAGGATCTCTCTGAGGAAGTTCATTGATACTGATGTGAGGAGATATCTCACTGTTCAGTGACACTGAGGCAATAAATACTTCTCTGAGCTTAGACCCCATTCCAGAACACTTGGAAGTTGAGCATGATGGTTGTTCCCTGTATGTACCTCTCTCATTTTTAAGTGTTTTTTGCATGGCAGACCACTTACTGTTATCTCACATATATATATTCTTATTATAGCCAAATTTACCACCCTACCTCCTCCCACAGTTTTTACACTACATAGACAGTAATATACGAAACGTGCGGATTGTTCCCGATTGGTGTGCTATTACTTTGTGGAACATTTCGCCGAATGGTTCACGAAATATCGCCGTTTTTTGTGGTGAAATGTGTCCCATAGGAATGAATGGCGCAACTAGAGTGAGAACTGACAAAGCTAGAGTGTGGAAGGAAAAATCAGGACATGATTTCTAAACTGCCATCACTCTGTCATTTTCAAGCCCACCTACACATATCTTATATCAAAACGTTCAGCTAACCCTGCTGTCACTAACAATGTTCACGGCTAAGCCATATTCCTGATAGTTTTCACAATATGACCATTTGTTTGCAACTCACCCCTCCCATTGACTTTCATTGAAACTTCACTCACAGCCACCTGAAATTTGAAGGGACATTTTTAAACTGCGACTGTGCCTTCATTTTTAATATTTCAGAGACATACTATACATCAAAATTTACAAGTGTTTGAAGATGGCAATCGCCAGTGAAGTTGGCAAGTTGGAGCAGTGTGTTTACAAAAGCCTGTCAGCTTTCTGTGACTGACTGAGTGAGTTGCCATAGCAACCAAAGATGACTCACCAGGCAGCTGAGTCACCAAGGCTGGACTGTGAGCTGCAAAATAAAAGTTGAAATGCATTCCTCACTCTATCAGGCTTGCCATGTGCACTGCTTACATTTCATCAATCACTTGGTTAGGGTTGGTTGCAAGAACACTTCACACAATTTCCCCAGAAATTGTAGATTTTCTAGTTTTTAATATATAACCGTAAGATAATAAATAACCACTGTGACGAGATATCACAAGAAAGGTGAACAGAAAACATACTGTATTTGTAAAGAATTTTCATTTTTGGATTCGAAATTTGGCATTTGACCAAGTAAGCGCCAACAGTCCTCCATAGTAGTGTGGGTAGTTGTATCTAGCGGGAGTACTTGGGTGACATGTTGTTTCAGAGAGGTAAAGAAGGACTTCGCTAATCCAACCCCCCCCCCCTTCCCCACTCACCCAAACTTTTTTTTTCCCCCCTTTTTTTTGTCCTCTCTTTTGCTTTGTCCGCTGGACTGTCCTAAAAAAACATACTCTCGCACCCAGAAAATCCAGCGTTGTCTGGTGTAATCCGCTATTCTCCATCTTCTCTCTCGCACCCAGAAAATCCAGCGTTGTCTGGTGTAATCCGCTACTCTCCATCTTCTCTCTCGCACCCAGCAAATCCAGCGTTGTCTGGTGTAATCCGCTACTTGCCATCTTCTCTCTCGCACCCAGCAAATCCAGCGTTGTCTGGTGTAATCCGCTACTCTCCATCTTCTCTCTCGCACCCAGCAAATCCAGCGTTGTCTGGTGTAATCCGAACAAATCCAGCGTTGTCTGGTGTAATCCGCTACTCGCCATCTTCTCTCTCGCACCCAGAAAATCCAGCGTTGTCTGGTGTAATCCGCTACTCGCCATCTTCTCTCTCGCACCCAGCAAATCCAGCGTTGTCTGGTGTAATCCGCTACTCGCCATCTTCTCTCTCGCACCCAGCAAATCCAGCGTTGTCTGGTGTAATCCGCTACTCGCCATCTTCTCTCTCGCACCCAGCAAATCCAGCGTTGTCTGGTGTAATCCGCTACTCGCCATCTTCTCTCTCGCACCCAGAAAATCCAGCGTTGTCTGGTGTAATCCGCTACTCTCCATCTTCTCTCTCGCACCCAGCAAATTCAGCGTTATCTGGTGTAATCCGAACAAATCCAGCGTTGTCTGGTGTAATCCGCTACTCGCCATCTTCTCTCTCGCACCCAGAAAATCCAGCGTTGTCTGGTGTAATCCGCTACTCGCCATCTTCTCTCTCGCACCCAGCAAATCCAGCGTTGTCTGGTGTAATCCACTACTCGCCATCTTCTCTCTCGCACCCAGCAAATCCAGCGTTGCCTGGTGTAATCCGCTACTCTCCATCTTCTCTCTTGCACCCAGCACATCCAATGTTGTCTGGTGTAATCCGCTACTCGCCATCTTCTCTCTTGCACCCAGCAAATCCAGCGTTGTCTGGTGTAATCCGCTACTCTCCATCTTTCTCTCTCGCACCCAGCAAATCCAGCGTTGTCTGGTGTAATCCGAACAAATCCAGCGTTGTCTGGTGTAATCCGCTACTCGCCATCTTCTCTCTCGCACCCAGAAAATCCAGTGTTGTCTGGTGTAATCCGCTACTCGCCATCTTCTCTCTCGCACCCAGCAAATCCAGCGTTGTCTGGTGTAATCCGCTACTCGCCATCTTCTCTCTCGCACCCAGAAAATCCAGCGTTGTCTGGTGTAATCCGCTACTCTCCATCTTCTCTCTCGCACCCAGCAAATTCAGCGTTATCTGGTGTAATCCGAACAAATCCAGCGTTGTCTGGTGTAATCCGCTACTCGCCATCTTCTCTCTCGCACCCAGAAAATCCAGCGTTGTCTGGTGTAATCCGCTACTCGCCATCTTCTCTCTCGCACCCAGCAAATCCAGCGTTGTCTGGTGTAATCCGCTACTCGCCATCTTCTTCTCTCTCGCACCCAGCAAATCCAGCGTTGCCTGGTGTAATCCGCTACTCGCCATCTTCTCTCTCGCACCCAGCAAATCCAGCGATGTCTGGTGTAATCCGCTACTCTCTATCTTCTCCCTTGCACCCAGCAAATCCAGCGTTGTCCGGTGTAATCCGCTACTCACCATCTTCTCTTCTCTCTCGCACCCAGCACATCCAGCGTTGTCTGGTGTAATCTGCTACTCTCCATCTTCTCTATCGCACCCAGCAAATCCAATGTTGTCTGGTGTAATCCGCTACTCTCCATCTTCTCTCTTGCACCCAGCACATCCAATGTTGTCTGGTGTAATCTCCGCTACTCGCCATCTTCTCTCTTGCACCCAGCAAATCCAGCGTTGTCTGGTGTAATCCGCTACTCGCCATCTTCTCTCTCGCACCCAGCACATCCAGCGTTGTCTGGTGTAATCCGCTACTCTCCATCTTCTCTCTCGCACCCAGCACATCCAGCGTTGTCTGGTGTAATCCGCTACTCTCCATCCATTTCTCTCTCGCACCCAGCAAATCCAGTGTTGTCTGGTGTAATCCGCTACTCGCCATCTTCTCTCTCGCACCCAGCAAATCCAGCGTTGTCTGGTGTAATCCACTACTCTCCATCTTCTCTCTTGCACCCAGCACATCCAGTGTTGTCTGGTGTAATCCGCTACTCGCCATCTTCTCTCTCGCACCCAGCAAATCCAGCGTTGTCTGGTGTAATCCACTACTCTCCATCTTCTCTCTCGCACCCAGCAAATCCAGCGTTGTCTGGTGTAATCCACTACTCGCCATCTTCTCTCTTGCACCCAGCAAATCCAGCGTTGTCTGGTGTAATCTGCTACTCGCCATCTTCTCTCTCGCACCCAGCAAATCCAGAGTTGTCTG